TCCGGCGATCCTTCCACCTCAGCCTTCCGAGTAGCTGGAACTACAGGTGCACACTACCACGCCGGGCTAATTTTCTGACTTATTGTAGAGATGAGGTCTCGCCAAGTTACCCAGGCGGGTCTCGAACCCACCGGCTCAGGCAATTCACTCACCTCAGCCTCCCAAAGCGTGGGATTACAGACTGAGCCACTGAGCCCGGCTTGTCTTGTTTTTTTAATGTAGAGATGAGGTATTGCTATGTTGCCCAGTCTTGTCTCGAACTCCTGGGCTCAAGCAATCGACCAGCCTCAGTGGCCCAAAGTGCTGGGATTACAGGTGTGAGCCACTGCGCCTGGCTGGGCCATCATTTTCTATTCCAAATTCCAACATCTATTTCCTATGACTATATGGGTATTAGATCCTATTACCTCTACAATCTTTTTTTTTTTTTTCATTAAGCCCTTCCATTCCAGGAAATCTTTAACATTGGCATCAATATTCTCATAAATATCCACCTTCATTTCATCCCCTTATTTCAGAATTCATTACATTGTTCCCCAAATACTTGGTTACTCCCTCCTCAATATTGTACTCCAGTCTTCCTTAACATTCACCTCATTGCTGCTGTTCTCAGTATTAAGCTCACTCCCGCCCCAAATTCAGTTCATTTCTTCTCATACTTTCATATTCTCTCCTAATAGCCTGTTACTTTTCCCCATACCTGCTTGTAATTTTTGGCTTAATAGAGCTCCAATGTTTGGTCTGTATTTTCCAACCAGTATTATATCTCCACTACTCTCACATCATACACATGTGTCCCTTTAACATAATCATGTGTCGGACCTGGCCAGTTTCCCCCTTATATAGCTTAAGTGTCCCAAGATATGTGGTCTCATATCCCTCAACTGCTCACTTAATTTCACAGTAATTGTTTCCCTATATTGAGCTTTCAACTGTCCTTCCATTTCTAGGTATCCAATAAGAGGTTCTCTCGTGCAAAATATCAAGCCTTTCCCTGTCTGCTCAGTATTCACAGACAGCCCTTTCAGGGTTTGACCATAAAAACAAAAAGGCCCAGAAGTTAGGCATAATAGCAGTGTGCCTGTTGTCCCAGCTATTGTGGAGGCTGAGGCGCGACAGTCCCTTGAGCCCACGTGTTTGAGACCAACTTGGGCAATATAGCAGAGACACTGTTTCAAAACAAAACAAAAACAAAAAACAAATGGACCCATTTGGCCTGTTACTTTGAGAATCAAATTCTAAGATTGTAGGCATGGTGGCTCACGCCTACAATCCCAGTACTTTGGGAGGCCGAGGTGAAAGGATTGCCTGAGTCCATGGGTTTAAGACCTGCCTAGACAATTTGGTGAGACTTCATCTCTACAATAAATCAAAAACTTAGCCATGTGTGGTGGTGTGCATCTGTAGTTCCAGCTACTTGGAAGGCTGAGGAGGAAGGATCACCTGAGCCTAGCAAGTTGAGTCTGGTAGCTGTGAGCGTGCCACCGCACTCCAGCCTGGGTGACACAGTAAGACTCCAATTTAAAAAAACACACAAAACAATCAAATTCTATTGTCTTATTGAACTGGCTGGGGTCACTTACTCACTACTCACCTTTAACCAAAAGGCAGAAGAGTAGGGTATGGTGGCTCATGCCTGTAATCCCAGCACTTTGGGAGGCCAAGGTAGGAGGATTGCTTGAGCCCAGGAGTTCGAGACCAGCCTGAGCAACATAGCAAGACTTTGTCTCAACAACAATAACAACAGGCAGAAGAGATACCTTAATAAGCAATCCCATGAAAATAGCATGCAATAGGAAAGAAAGCATTTCCCAGAGGAAAACTGAAGTATTATGGATGCTAGGCAGGTGGAAATATCAGATATCCACTAAACTGACTTTCAGCAGGTCACAAAGGATGACAGCACAGCCCATTATTTTGGGCAATTGTCCTATTATGTATTGGTTGTCAGTGGTGGGTAAATATATGGAGTCAAATAAGTAGGGGTTTCTGAATACTATGAGACAGTGGTAAGTTCAAGTTGTGGGAGACAGTTGGAATTTAGCTATTTGGGACAGTGGAACCTGATATTGGGAGAATAACGGATTTTTTTTTAACTGTCATTGCTTATTAGGTTTTAAGCATTGGAGACGGTAATCAGCAAAACAGACACAGACCTTGCCTTCATGGAGTTCACTTGGTTAATAGTTGAACTTATCACATGGCAGGCTTAGTGTTTCTCATAATATGAATTCACTGAATTTTCACAACCTATAAAGTAGGTTTTATTATTCTCCCCATTTTGCAGATGAGGAAATAGACATAGGTGAAGTGATTTGCCCAAGGTCACAGCACAAATAATGGAGCAAGATTTTGAAACCAGATATTGTTTCTGGAGTGTGTAGTCTTATTTTTTACCAGCTTTATTGAGATGTGATTAACATATTATGTAACTCATTCATTTAAAGCATTAAATGCAATGGTTTTTTAGTGTATTCACAGTTATACAACCAACACTGCAATCAATATTATAATATTTTCATCACCCCAAAAAGAAACCTCACATTGCTAACCCAATTCCCTCCAACACCACCCTCCCCTAAAATCCCTAGGTAACCATTAATCATCTTATTTGTCTCTACAGATTTTCCTTTTCTACATATTTTATACAAATGAAAACACATACTACGTGGTCCTTTGTGACTAGCTTCTTTCACTGAACATAATGTTCTCAAGGCTTATCTATGTTACATCATTTCTATTGCTAAATAGTATTCCACTGTATGGACATATTATTATTATTATTATTATTATTATTATTATTGAGTTGGAGTCTCACTCTGTCGCCCAGACTGGAGTGCAGTGGCATGCTCCCGGCCACCACAGCCTCGACCTGCTGGGCTCTGGCGATCCTTCCGCCTCAGCCTTCCAAGTAGCTGGAACTACAAGCGTGCGCTACCACGCCCGGCTAATTTTTTATTTATTTATTGTAGAGATGAGGTCTTGCCAAGTTGCCCAGGTGGGTCTCGAACCCACGGGCTCAGGCAATCCACTCATCTCAGCCTCCCAAAGCGCAGGATTACAGGCTGAGCCACCGAGCCCAGCTGGACATATTATTTTTTATTTGCCCATTCATCATTTGAACATTTGGCTTGTTTTTCATTTTTTGGTTATTATGAATAATGCTGCTGTAAACATTGGTCTAAAAATTTTTGTGTGGACATATGTTTTCATTTCTCTAGAATGGAATTACTGGATTGCATTCTACAACTCTTATGTTTAACCATTTGAAACTGTTTTCCAAAGTGATGATACATTTTCAGTTCCCACCAGCAGTGTATGCGAGTTTGAATTTCTTCACTTCCTTGCCAAAATGCATCTATCTTTTTCATTATAGTCATTTTAGTGAGTATTAAGTGGTTACCATTCTCTGATAGCTGTTGATGTGTAATATCTTTTTATGTGCCTATTGGCCATTTGTATATCTTCTTTGAAGAAATGTCTATTCAGATTCCGTGCCCATTTTAAAATTGGACTTTGTCTTCTATTATTGAATTCTAGGGGTTCTTATTTTATTTTAGAATCAGAATCTCACTCTGTCGCCCAGGCTGGAGTGCAATGGCATGATCTCAGCTCACGGCAGCCTCAACATCCTGGGCTCAGGTGGTCCTCCAGCCTCAGCCTCCCAAGTAACTGGGATTATAGGTGCATGCCACCATGCCTGGCTAACTTAAAAAAAAATTTTTTTTGAGTCGAGGTGTGGTTATGTTGCCCAGGCTGATCTCAAACTCCTGGGCTCAAGCAATCCTCCTGTCTCTGCTTCCCAAAG